TCAATGCACTCTTTATGATTTTAATGTTTCTTTTCTGGTTGTTTTGTTCCGCACTTTGAGATACCTTTTGTGTGGACTGTGCCATACAAAAAAACTCACCTTTCTCTGCTTATCTTTCATCAGATTGTGTTGAACAGTGCGAGTCCTGGGCCTCTGTTTGGACCATTATAGACTGGTTTGAACATGACACGATTGGGTGGGACCACAATTATCAGCAGCCTTTATGAATGCCCTTTATGACTCTACAACACACGCCCAAAAAGACATATTTTTAACACTGTCATTTTCCTCAAAGCGTTCCTCAAACACAAGGCGAGGTTTGGGAGTGATGGATGACATGTACCTGGGAATACTGGGAAAACTATACATGACTTTTTCTTTTTGATGGTTTTCAGAAGTTACTTTTAACCATTGAATGAGTACATGTCTGTCTTTGATCACACTAAAGGTTTGTACATGTTGTTGTTTTTGGCATGGGTATATATGCGTATGTGTATGTCAATTCCATTCTGTTTATTTGTGAATGGCCCTGAGTCGCAACAGCAGTCGTCTTACTTTACAAAGTTGTCGATTAGCCAACAACAGATCAGAGAATGAATCAGTTCGAAGACGGGAAATAATAATAATGCAATAATAATAACAAACACACTCCTGCATCAACGAGAAACGACTCAAAAAACACAAAAGAGAATAAAAATGAGAGACTTCAGGCCTTTAGAGTTGATTTAAAGTCTATTCTCTGAGCCACAGTGAGAGACGGGCTTTAGATCCAGGACTGAGGCTGATGCATCACAGGAGAACTGTTCCTACAAAAATCTGAAATGCTGCCTCCCCATGTTTAGTCCTGACTCTGGGTATCAGCAAAAGGCCAGTCCCTGTGCTCCTTGGTGTCCCAGCAGGAGACCAGTCCCTGTGCTGCTAGGAGTCCCAGCAGGAGGCCAGTCCCTGTGCTCCTCAGAGTCCCAGCAGGAGACCAGTCCCTGTGCTCCTCAGAGTCCCAGCAGGAGGCCAGTCCCTGTGCTCCTCAGAGTCCCAGCAGGAGACCAGTCCCTGTGCTCCTCCGTGTCCCAGCAGGAGACCAGTCCCTGTGCCCCTCCGTGTCCCAGCAGGAGACCAGTCCCTGTGCTCCTCAATTGGTCTATATGTCACTAACATGTCTCAGATGTACTTTGGTGCGAGGCCGTGGAGTGACTTTAGAGCTGATATTCTCTGAACCACCGGAAGCACAGGGACCTTTAAAGCAGGTTCTCTGTAAATACATTTCAGACTGTTCTCCCGGAGGTTCTCTGCGACCGTTGCGGCACAGTCTGCTCTTCACACACAAGCAACAAATACCACGTCTTCATCACAGTTTTGGGAAAGTGCTCACGGCTTCCCGAGTACCTTCATCCAGATTATTCTATTCTCACAATATTATCTCATTATAATTCTTATTTTCAGAATCGAACTTTATTGTTATTTTTATTGTGGAATACTATGTAAGCTACTGTGACAACGCTGTTTCCCTTATGGATCAATTAAGTCTAAGTCTAAGTCTAATTCTAAGTCTTGCACAAACGGCTTTAAAACAACAGATTTGTCACTTGCCGCTCGCTCCTAAGACAAACAGTTGCACAAGAGGAGAAGGCGAATCCTTTATGTGTGTGGCAGGTTGTATAGGTGTGGTGTGTGTGTGTGTGTGTGTGGGTGTGTGTGTGTAGCAGGTCGTACAGGTGTGGTGTGTGTGTGTGTGTGCATTTTTCACATTCACTCCATTTCAGAGCGACCTTTCCTCCCACTCTGCCTCGCACAGACTGTCATTGTGTGTGTGTGTGTTGGTGTGTGTGTGTGTGTGTGTGTGGGGCAACTGTGTGTATACATGGGTGGGACGTCACATGCATTCTTTCACAGTGATAACATGCTAAACCAAGGGAGAGAGGTGTAGTGTCGGAGAAGGTTTTGGCCCCTGTTTTGTCAGAGTGTGTGTGTGTGTGTGTGTGTGTGTGTGTGAGCGTGTGTGTCTTTTGTATTGTCTGTGTTATCATCCTTGGTAGTGTCATGTATTGTATTACTGTACTGTACGGTTGGGTCTTTGAGAATTCTACTGATATTGTTTTAACAGTGTGGCGTGTGTGTGTGTTTGTATGCGTGTGTGTGTGTGTGTGTGTGTGCGTGTGTGTGTGTGCGTTCGTGTGTGTGCATTTGCTCCCGTGTTTTTGCATATGTTATGGAAGGGAAATACACATGTTTGATTAGATTATCTTTGTTTCGTGGTTTTGAAGGTTGCAGTATCAAACACACACACACACACTGACACACACACACACACACACACACACTGACACACACACATACATACACACACACTTCCCCCAAATCTTCAGGAATTCCAAGGAGATGTGTGTGCATTTGCTCCCGTGTTTTTGCATATGTTATGGAAGGGAAATACACATGTTTGATTAGATTATCTTTGTTTCGTGGTTTTGAAGGTTGCAGTATCAAACACACACACACACACTGACACACACACACACACACTGACACACACACATACATACACACACACTTCCCCCAAATCTTCAGGAATTCCAAGGAGATGTGTGTGCATTTGCTCCCGTGTTTTTGCATATGTTATGGGAGGGAAATACACATGTTTGATTAGATTATCTTTGTTTCGTGGTTTTGAAGGTTGCAGTATCAAACACACACACACACACTGACACACACACACACACACTGACACACACACATACATACACACACACTTCCCCCAAATCTTCAGGAATTCCAAGGAGATGAGAGAGAGACAAAGGCTGCATCCAATTTCAATCAAAATACCTCCTTCCTTGCCCTTAAAATGTTTGTTTTAAAAGCAGCTCAAGGTTTAGGCAAGGATTTTTAATCCTAAAGCCGCTAAAAGGTAAAGTGTATTTCCATAAAGATCAACATAAATCAGAAAGAAGGACAAGGAAGGACGGAAGTGTGTCTTGTACGTATGTTTTGTATGCAGCCACTAGCATCAAAAACAGGGGACCATCTAAACAAGGAGTAACACTGGCTCAGAATGACTCGGCATTTAACCCGGCATTTAATGAACAATAATTCTTTGCTAATCTAAGCTATAACTTTAACATAATAAAGAAGCAAGAACTAAGTAGAAAATCTCAGACTTTAGCATATTAGAGAAGCAAGTATAAAAACTGATATATACTCAATTGCAAGAAATATATTTGTATGTTTACGTGTGTACATGTTAGCAGCATGAGGGTCTGGGACACAGTGAGAATTTGGTTATGTATTTCACATTTAGAAATTATTCAAATGTCTTACTATATATTAATCATTTTCTGATCAAGTGCCTCCATAACAACATGTGTTTATAGCTCACTTGGAGACCCTTGCTCCAGATAGATAGACAGACAGTGGCCTCTGCAGCAGTCAGGCCCTGGAGTTCTTGTGTCATCAGTTCCGGTGCTGCCCCCTGGTGGTTGAGATGAGCAGTGATTGTGTGTTTTTACATATGAATGATCTCACACTAATGTCGCTGCGGCACAAAGACACAGAGGCCATTAGAGGAGAGGGCGTCCTTCAGGGAGCAGTAATATGGTAATAACACCACCGCCTCATGGTCAGCGGTCAGTGTGTGTGGCCCGATGACTTTATAAAGACGTGCACAAATGAATACATTAGGAATAGTTTTATATAGTTCGCAAATCTATATTATAAATTTGAGTACCCAGTTTTTTTTGTAAATCATCACAAACATATTATATACTCCATAAGTGTACTTATCCCTAACTCAAATGCAATTATATCTCCAATTTAGTATCCTATTTTTTTTGTATTATCCATCCATCCATCCACTTTCTTCCGCTTCATCCATTGCCAGGTCATGGGGGGACCCCAAGACGTTCCCAGGGTCTTCCCCGGGGCCCCTCCTTAAGATAATAGATCTTTTTAAATAATCTATTATCTTAAATAATAAATCCTGTTTGATGTGTGCATAATCTAATAAAGTATGTATCCATCAATCTAATCTGAATGCTCTTTTTTCTCTTTCTATTCGGCTGGACTATACCTGCACATGATATTTCTACTGAGGGACATATAAAGGCTTACTTTATCTTAAACAACCCTACACATAAGAAATAGATATGACATTTAGCACTAGGACTCCCTGGATTCTGAAACCACTAGAACTCCCAGAGCAGTCATTTTGACGGCTTCTATTCATATCAATGGAATTCTGAAAAATGCACACTTAAATTTAACCTAGTCCTCACGGATTAACAGCTAAGCAAGTGCTAAATAGTGTATTTGTTTTATTATATTTTAGTTGGTATTTATTAGGCACTTATTAGTTTTTATTCTTCATTGCTTTATTCAACAAGGTTAGGGTTAAGCTAGCTGGGCTAATCTAAAGAGTTAGATCCATGCAAATCCCCCACGAAAAACGGTTTGGTTCTCCACTAGTTTTATTCAAAAAAACTTTTCAAATTAAAAAACGTATCAAATTAAGTAATTCATAAGGTTTTTACTATTAATAAGTAAAAACGTATTTTAAAAAACCCAAAACCCCCCTAAAAAAAAGTTTTTAAAAATGGCTAATTCTAACTGCTGTCAAGTGAACGTTGTGTTGCCATGGTAACACATCCAGGACATCCGGAAACAGCACCTAGGAGAAAAGATGATTTCATGATAATAATTACATATAAATTAACTAAATATTTATACAGCTAATGCTTATGTACATGTAACTCATACCGAAATTAAATTGACTGCTCCGGGAGGTCTAATGTTAAATACAACCAAATGAATTATGTGCGTTAAACAGATATTACTCGGTTGATCATTAATTAGTCTTGTATACATTCAAATATTGTCGTAAACATGTTTAGGCAGGTTTTTGTAAACTAGACAGACTGGATGATTGACGCGCGGTGGTCAGTCAGTGGTCAACAGGCCCCGCCCCCATCATGCATCCGCGTGCACCTACACAAACGCGCGTGCCCGTGTCAAACATGGCGGCCTCTGTCTCTCTCCGAGTGTGCAGCGCGCTGTCCTCTCACCATCACTGCTGCCGGACCGAGCTGAGGACGCTGCGGCAGAGGAGACGACTGCACCAGACTGCCACCCGGTAAGCCCCACGGTGCTCCTCCTCCCCCCGGTGTGTGTCTGCCCGGTCTGTCCCCGGTGTGTCCTCGGTGTGTGTCTGCCCGGTGTCTGTCCCCGGTGTGGAGCGTCACGTGTGGAGGGTGATGATGGAGCAGATGGCGACAGTGACCTCTCATCACGGAGGCGTGGGTTCCTGGACCGGACACAGATGTACAGTCTAAATATATATGTATATATTTATATATAAATAGTATAGATGTATATTTATATAATACGTTATCCTCGGCACGGCCTCTCAGCAAGAAGGTCCTGGGTTCGAATCCCGGCCGGACCAAACTCCACTTTCTGAGTGGAGTTTGCATGTTCTCCCTGTTTCTGCGTAGGTTTCCTCCGGGTACTCCGGTTTCCCCTACCACTAAAAATATGTACAATAGGTCTGGCATGCGCCTCCTGTTCGGCGACCCCCGCTCCCATCTCTGTGTGGAGTGAGAGGACAAGTGCCCAAAAAATAACAATTGTAAACCGCTTTGTGACTCTGGTCTGTGAAAGGCGGTATATAAATAAAGCTTACTTACTTACTCTTGTGTTGGGCGCGTCCACAAGCCTCTGCTCATGTGTTATAAATGTTTCTTACACATGAGGTAACGCTGCACCTGCTAAAGCCGCGTCACACACACTCACTGCTTTCATTCAGACCTCTGACGCTGAGAAGGGCAGAGCCTGATTAGTACTGTGATGGGAGACCTCAGATGAGAGACCTCTGTCTCAGTGGGGTTGCTGTAAAGTGCCAAACTCCGGTGTCCTTAGGCAAGACATTTCACCCTTGTCCTGTATTTAAATTGATTTATTATTATTAACTTACGATTTCTCAATCTCTGAGTGTTCATGAGAAGCTTTTGCAGCGTTGACAACAACAGTTTTGTTAAGTCCTCTGAGATAACTACTGTTGTGACTTAGGACTATGCAAGAATAATTTGAATTGAAATTGAAAAAAAAAGTGAATAAATGTGTCTGATTCTTGTTGCTCGTTCTTGAAAACAGAACACAGAAACCTGAGAAAGACAGGAGCAAATTTATTGTTCCTTATAATAAAAAAGTGACTATACAATCACAATCTGATATATTCAATCTAAAATGTTGTGCCATAAATTCACTGTCTTAGTATGTTTATCTTGAAGTAATACCATCAGTGTAATATCAATTCTATTATTTCATTCCATCACAATCTGTCACTGTGACACAAACTCGAGGACCAGTTTGTGTCACTGGGAGTTTCATCCCAGAGTTTCGGAGTTGAATTTCTGACTGGAGCAGCGTTCTTTCCCGCATGAAATCCTCAGTCAGCTGCTTATCTTGTTTGTATCTGTTCCTTAGACAAGAAGCGGTGGTGATTTCTGGGAAAGTTCTGGCTCGGCAGATCCAGAGAGAGATCCAGCGGGACGTGGAGGAGATGGTCGCCGAGGGAAACATGAGACCCCACTTAGGGGTGGTGCTGGTGGGAGACGACCCGGCCAGCCACACCTACGTCCGCAACAAAACCAGGGCCGCCAATATCCTCGGTTAGAACACCTGTACTTTAGAACCAATGTACTTTCTAATAAGAATAATACTATTAATGTACTTTAACTGTTTGTATCAAGTTAACAGTTAAGGAACAAGTTGAAATACAGTTAAAAACCTCTATTCAATCTGGATTTACTCAAACAGATAACACATGGGTATTAATAGAATTGTATGTTTGGCAGTAATCTGACACTTGATAAATTACACATATGACTCAGAGGAAAATATTATCAAGATTACATTTATTGTGCTGTACAGAATGTGGTTAGGATTTGGCGATTAGACCCCGGCAAAGCACTGCATGATTTCAGAAGAGGAAAGAGATTATGAGAGGAAATCCCCCGGAGCCAAGACTCTGGTGGTGGGAGCAAAGAGAAAGATTAAGGGGAGGAGGAGGATTGCAGCGTGAATGAAGCTTCTTCGCAATAAGAATTTTGTTGTGGGGCAGTACCTGATTGTTGCCAGGTGAGGGCAGTGTGGCGCTGCAGCAAAGTGTGATTGACAGATACTGTTGCCGTTGGCGACAGTGGGAGGACTTTGAGCACTGTGAGCTAAGTTCTTCCTGTCTTCCAGCCTGAATTTCCGCTTTAGCTTCATTTTGATATCAGTTGTAACAGTTCTCACATGCCTGTTTGTTGTCATTGATAACTCCCAAGTGCGGATTGTGGAGAAGGGCAAGTTTCTGGGTCAAAAACACTGACCAGATTGTTGAGAGAGCTCGTCATCGTCTCTTCTTTCTGCGGAAACCTTCACCTTCTAAGATTCTGCTGAGCCTGCACATGTCGTTCATCTGTAAACCTTATCTACTTATTATCCTGCTCTATATGTACATAACTTTGCACAATACTGTTTATAGATAGGTAGAGATATAGTGATATATTGAAGCATTTACAGCTAGCTAAGAGACATAGCAGTTACTTATATTGTATATTTTGTGTGTTCCCTGTGTCTCTTACTACTGTCCTGTATGTGCGCTGCAACATTGGAATTTATTGTTTAGTGTTATCTAGACATTGGTCTCATAGTAATATCCTAGAATACATTCAAATGCATATAAAGAATGTGAGTAGGAAATAAAACAACAAATGCGACACTTTACGTGAGTTTACAAAGATGTGCTCCACGTCCAGGTATTTCCAGCGACACCGTGATCAGACCGAGCTCCGTGTGTCAAGAGGAGCTGCTGGAACTCATCGACAAAATGAACCGGGACTTGAGAGTCAGTGGCCTCCTGGTGCAGCTGCCTCTTCCTGGTAAACAACATGTGGTATTCTGTCTAGCGTTCGGGCAAAATATATGTGTAAAATGATCATAAGTGATCTTTGTCTATACCAGACCAGGGCAAAGTGTGGTCTTCAATGTGATCCTTGGACCTTTTTCCATCTGCAAACTTCACACCATCTCCCCCCATTTAAGTGAATGGGAGTCAATACCCCATGAAGGTTTTAAACTTTATCAGTGCTAAGATGGCTTGTTTTAATATTAACATTGGTTTTATACAGCGCTTATAAACCATAAGTATTTCTCTATTGGTCGTCATGGAACTAGCGGGTTAGCATTGTCCATCTATATACAGTCCATGGTGTAATAACAGACCATGGTGCAATAACAGACCATGGTGCAATAACAGGTGTAATAACAGACCAGGGTGTAATAACAGGTGTAATAACAGGTGTAATAACGGTCCACGGTGTAATAACAGACCATGGTGCAATAACAGGTGTAATAACAGACCAGGGTGTAATAACAGGTGTAATAACAGGTGTAATAACAGACCATGGTGCAATAACAGGTGTAATAACAGACCATGGTGTAATAACAGACCATGGTGCAATAACACGTGTAATAACAGGTGTAATAACAGACCATGGTGCAATAAAAGGTGTAATAACAGGTGTAATAACAGACCATGGTGTAATAACAGGATTAATAACAGGTGTAATAACAGACCATGGTGTAATAACAGGATTAATAACAGGTGTAATAACAGGTGTAATAACAGGTGTAATAACAGACCATGGTGTAATAACAGGATTAATAACAGGTGTAATAACAGGTGTAATAACAGGTGTAATAACAGACCATGGTGCAATAACAGGTGTAATAACAGACCATGGTGCAATAAAAGGTGTAATAACAGGTGTAATAACAGACCATGGTGTAATAACAGGATTAATAACAGGTGTAATAACAGACCATGGTGCAATAACAGACCATGGTGTAATAACAGACCATGGTGTAATAACAGGATTAATAACAGGTGTAATAACAGGTGTAATAACAGGTGTAATAACGGTCCATGGCTCCGTGTGGTTCTCTGCAGAGCACATAAACGAGCGTGCCGTGTGCAACGCCATCGCTCCAGAGAAAGACGTGGACGGGTTCCACATCGTGAACATCGGGAAGTTGTGCCTGGACCAGAGATCCATGATCCCAGCCACACCTGCCGCCGTGTGGGAAATCATCAAGAGAGCAGGTGAGCGCCACACCAGGACCCTGTGGTAGAGTGTCTGTTCTCTATCTCTGTTCGGTATCTTCATATGGAAGTTACACTGATGCAGTAGAGAAAAAATATGTCATATAATAATTATCTGTTGTACTTTGGTGTTTTCTCTGTGTGTAATCTTATAATTTGTGTTAAGTTCTTCTATTATGTCTGCTTGTTTTGACTCTAGTCTGTTGTATGTGAATGATGTAAGTGATGCTGGGAGATCATTGTTCATGTGACAGGTCTATTTAACTAGTTCCTCGCTCTCAAAACAGTTTTTTTCTATCACTGGTTTCACATTCATGTATCTTTGGCTGTAGATCAGCTTTTCAGACAGACCATCATCACTCAATCCAAATGCATTCTACTCATGGAGCCACTAGAGGGCGGTATAACACATCCCATCAGCTCATTCTACTGTGTACTCTGTGTGTACTTCTATGTAAGTACTAGTTTGAATTTTAATTTCTAACGTTACGCAAATGAAACTATAAGCAATAAACAAGACACAAAATAAACAGTTTGAAAAAGAGGCGAGACGAAGCAGACGCTTATTTGATGTGAGGGGTTTTCAAACCTTTGCTCTCCACAGGGCGGAACAATACAGTACAATGTATTCTTGTATCGCCCTAAATCACAACAGCATCATCTCAGAGACTTCACAAAACCATTGAAATCATCGACACAGATCAGAGAATCAACAGTTAAGGCACAAAATATACACATATGAATTGGTCCATAGGAGAAAGCAATGTCCATGAATGTTGATAAATGTCATACATGTTGATAAATGTCACACATGTTGATAAATGTCACACATGTTGATAAATGTCACACATGTTGATAATAGTCACACATGTTGGTAAATGTCATACATGTTGATAAAGGTCATACATGTTGATAAAGGTCATACATGTTGATAAAGGTCATACATGTTGATAAATGTCATACATGTTGATAAATGTCACACATGTTGATAAATGTCATACATGTTGATAAATGTCACACATGTTGATAAATGTCACACATGTTGATAAATGTCATACATGTTGATAAAGGTCATACATGTTGATAAATGTCCGTGAGGAATCCGCTCCCACGGACGGACGGGCTGTATATCCAGGACTCAGACTGTAGAACGAGGACTGAGGCTGTAGATCCAGGACTCAGACTGTAGAATGAGGACTGAGGCTGTAGACCCAGGACCTAAGCTACAGAACGTGGACCAGGGCCACGCAGCTTCCGCAGGACTGAAGCAGCTCCAGGCGGGTCAGGCAGGGCAGTCCGCAGGTGTAGATGGAGGAGGCCAGGCTCAGAGGTCCCGTCGTCGCACCATGAAACAGACAATGGGACGACGGGTGAATAACAATGAACAGACTACAGTGAAAATCCTAGTAATGCAAAATAGATAAAGTAGGAAGAAGGAGAGGATAGTGCTCAAGTTACCAAACTTCTCCAGCAAACTGACTCCCTACGAAGCTTGACTGACAGTCTGAGGAGTTTAGCCTTCCCTGAGTCTTACCTTCCTAACCATATGAACAGTGGCTGAGTGGTTAGCACTCTCGCTTCTCAGCTAGAAGGTCCTGGGTTCGAATCCACAATCTTAACAGGGTCTTTCTTAGTGGAGTTTGCATGTTCTCCCTGTGCCTGCCTAGGTTATTAAGTTTCCCTTCCCCTTTTAACCTAACACAGGTACATGTACATATTTGAACACTGCTGAGTGCATTGTATATATTTCTGAGGGTTTTTTAATCCTTTTGAATCTTTGAATTAACATATTGTTGATGATGACTTCTTTTCACTTTCGTCACTGATCCACGCTGGTTTGAAGTTGACCCAGAGACGTTTTCCTTTGACTAAAACCCTTTGTTCTCAGGAATAGAGACGGTGGGCAGGAATGTGCTGGTCGCCGGCCGTTCCAAGAATGTGGGAATGCCCATCTCCATGCTTCTGCACACGGACCGGGGCCACGAGCGTCCGGGCGGTGAGTGTCTGCAGCTGCTCGAGCTTCAGGGCAAACTCAGATGGAGAGTTGCATCATGACTTTCAGGACAAGTTTCCTCATCGCTGTTTGGAATCAGATCAGGTCCGCATCTCATTCCTCCATAACTCCAAAAATCCTACTGGAATTGTACCAAACATAAGCACTGCTGCAGGGAGTGGGATTCTGCCCAAATATGGGAACAGGAAGAAGGGCTGGTCTTCAGGAGAGCGATGCAACCGATGAAGCAACAGTGTGTGACGTGCAGCCGCCATCAGTCAAACAGAGACATCTTTATAATACTCATAAGACAGTTTAGTTTAAGTGCCAGAGAGAGGCCAGAGAGAGAGAAACCAGAGAGAGAGAGAGGCCAGAGAGAGAGGACAGAGAGAGGGGCCAGAGAGAGAAGCCAGAGAGAGAAGCCAGAGAGAGAAGCCAGAGAGAGAAGCCAGAGAGAGAAGCCAGAGAGAGAAGCCAGAGAGAGAAGCCAGAGAGAGAAGCCAGAGAGAGAAGCCAGAGAGAGAAGCCAGAGAGAGAAGCCAGAGAGAGAAGCCAGAGAGAGAAGCCAGAGAGAGAAGCCAGAGAGAGAAGCCAGAGAGAGAGACCAGCGAGAGAGACTAGAGACCAGAGCCTCAGGTGTCGTTGTATCTGTCTGTACGAATCTGACACATCTGGCCCAGAGTTCATACGAATTTTACTCATGTGTACGTGACAGTAACTTGAGATTTTATGTTTTTTAATTGTTTACAGGGATCAAGAGGGATGACTGCACGGCATTGTGGGTAGTCTTCTCAAAAAAGTGGGCATGAAATCACGCTCTCCTATTAGATTACCTGTTACGAGCGTGATCTGTCTCTCTTTTTTCCAGCCCATTGATTGTTTTAATTGCTACCAAAATCACCAATTTCAGACATTTAGAAGGTAAGGTAAAGATTTTTTCATGTAACAAAAAAGCAATGCATTTTTTTCTTGTGGTTTTAGATGTAAACACAACCGACTGACGATAGAGCTACATGTAGCTTATGCTGCTTACGAGGATCGAATGCTTACACACGAGCTTCATAAACGTATAGACTAAAAGTATAGACAGGTGTGCAGTATAGAGAGGTGTTCAGTATAGAGAGGTGTGCAGTATAGAGAGAGGTGTGCGGTATAGAGAGAGGTGTGCAGTATAGAGAGGTGTGCAGTATAGAGAGGTGTGCAGTATAGAGAGAGGTGTGCAGTATAGAGAGAGGTGTGCGGTATAGAGAGGTGTGCGGTATAGAGAGGTGTGCAGTATAGAGAGGTGTGCAGTATAGAGAGGTGTGCAGTATAGAGAGATGTGCGGTATAGAGAGGTGTGCGGTATAGAGAGGTGTGCAGTATAGAGAGGTGTGCAGTATAGAGAGAGGTGTGCAGTATAGAGAGAGGTGTGCAGTATAGAGAGGTGTGCAGTATAGAGAGGTGTGCAGTATAGAGAGAGGTGTGCAGTATAGAGAGAGGTGTGCGGTATAGAGAGGTGTTCAGTATAGAGAGGTGTGCAGTATAGAGAGAGGTGTGCGGTATAGAGAGAGATGTGCAGTACAGAGAGGTGTGCAGTATAGAGAGAGGTGTGCAGTATAGAGAGGTGTGCAGTATAGAGAGGTGTGCAGTATAGAGAGAGGTGTGCAGTATAGAGAGAGGTGTGCGGTATAGAGAGGTGTGCGGTATAGAGAGGTGTGCAGTATAGAGAGGTGTGCAGTATAGAGAGGTGTGCGGTATAGAGAGGTGTGCGGTATAGAGAGGTGTGCAGTATAGAGAGGTGTGCAGTATAGAGAGAGGTGTGCGGTATAGAGAGGTGTGCGGTATAGAGAGGTGTGCGGTATAGAGAGGTGTGCGGTATAGAGAGGTGTGCAGTATAGAGAGAGGTGTGCAGTATAGAGAGAGGTGTGCGGTATAGAGAGGTGTGCGGTATAGAGAGGTGTGCGGTATAGAGAGGTGTGCGGTATAGAGAGAGGTGTGCAGTATAGACAGGTGTGCAGTATAGAGAGGTGTGCAGTATAGACAGGTGTGCAGTATAGACAGGTGTGCAGTATAGAGAGGTGTGCAGTATAGAGAGGTGTGCAGTATAGAGAGGTGTGCAGTATAGAGAGGTGTGCAGTATAGAGAGGTGTGCAGTATAGAGAGGTGTGCAGTATAGAGAGGTGTGCAGTATAGAGAGAGGTGTGAAGTACAGAGAGGTGTGCAGTATAGAGAGGTGTGCAGTATAGAGAGGTGTGCAGTAAAGAGAGAGGTGTGCAGTATAGAGAGAGGTGTGCAGTATAGACAGGTGTGCAGTATAGAGAGAGGTGTGAAGTACAGAGAGAGGTGTGAAGTACAGAGAGAGGTGTGCAGTATAGAGAGAGGTGTGAAGTACAGAGAGAGGTGTGAAGTACAGAGAGGTGTGCAGTATAGAGAGAGGTGTGCAGTATAGAGAGGTGTGCAGTACAGAGAGGTGTGCAGTATAGAGAGAGGTGTGCGGTATAGAGAGGTGTGCGGTATAGAGAGGTGTGCAGTATAGAGAGGTGTGCAGTATAGAAAGAGGTGTGCAGTATAGAGAGAGGTGTGCAGTATAGAGAGAGGTGTGCAGTATAGAGAGAGGTGTGCAGTATAGAGAGAGGTGTGCAGTATAGAGAGAGGTGTGCAGTATAGAGAGAGGTGTGCAGTATAGAGAGAGGTGTGCAGTATAGAGAGGTGTGCAGTATAGAGAGGTGTGCAGTATAGAGAGGTGTGCAGTATAGAGAGAGGTGTGCGGTATAGAGAGGTGTGCAGTATAGAGAGGTGTGCAGTATAGAGAGAGGTGTGCAGTATAGAGAGAGGTGTGCAGTATAGAGAGGTGTGCAGTATAGAGAGGTGTGTGCAGTATAGAGAGGTGTGCAGTATAGAGAGAGGTGCGCAGTATAGAGAGGTGTGCAGTACAGTACCTCCTCTGAATGTCATCGTCTTCACTGAGGTCACTCCTGATGACGTGCTCCAGGTATTTGGCCTTCTCTACATTCAGAAGCTCCACAGACAAATATGTCCAAAGTACAGCTTTGGGTAAGTTTATGAAGCTCGCGTGTAAGCATTCGATCCTCGTAAGCAGCATAAGCTACATGTAGCTCTATCGTCAGTCGGTTGTGTTTACATCTAAAACCACAAGAAATACCTTCTAAATGTCTGAGATTGGAGATTTTTGTAGCGATTAAAACAATCGATGGGCTGGAAAAGAGAGAGACAGATCACGCTCGCAACAGGTAATCTAATAGGAGAGCGTGATTTCATGCCCACTTTTTTGAGAAGACTACCCACAATGCTGTGCGGTCGAGCCGGAAGCTCGGAACTCTTGATCCCTGTATTCTTTTGAACTTGACTGGAACTGGAACTAAATCTGCGGTTGGACTGGTCCTTGTTTCAGGCGACGCCACCGTGACCATCGCCCACAGATGCACCCCCCGAGAACACCTGAAGGAGCTCGCCAACATGGCCGACATCATCATCGCGGCGGCAGGTGAGGACCCCCATAGACAGACTCAGAGAAGGGGCCGAACCTCACAGTCACAGAACCAACAAGTAGATTTTCTGTGTATCTTCGAGATGATTGTGAATTTTCTATTCTTAAAAAGAAAGAAGAAATGCCGGCGAGTTTTCTTAACGACTTGATTTGTGTTTTTGTCCGATTTCAAGTCATTGTAGAACGGTACGGCGGCTGAGTTAGTACTGTGTTAATATTCTAGTTAATATTCTCAGCTGCAAGGCCTTGGGTTCGATTCAACGTTCAGACAGGGCCTTTCTGAGTGTAGTTTGCATGTTCTCCCCGTGTCTGTGTAGATTTACTTTACTGCTAAAAACATGTACTGTGGCACCCCTCTTTGCTGAGAAAGAAAATCTGAAATGTCTTCAGAAAAAAGTGGGATTTTTTTGGTTGTATAAAGGTCAATAATAATAATATTAATTAAACCCAGAACCCAAAAAAAAACAACTGTGGGATGAATAAAGGATCTTTTAATCTTGTTCTATTAAACAATCTCTTAATTCTTGCATTGATGACACCAGAATCATATACAGTAGTTCTTCAGAAGGTTCTAGGTTTGATTCCACTTCCATAAAAAATAACAATACATTAAATAGACTGAAGATAAAATCCTTTAGTTGTAGCTTTACGGGTTCAGCTGGAGGTTAAATACTTAGAGATACAGTGCCTTGCGAAATTATTCGGCCCCCTTTAACCTTTCAACATTTCGCCACATTTCAGGCTTCAAACATAAAGATATAAAATTTTAATTTTTTGTCATGAATCAACAACAAGTGGGACACAATCGTGAAGTGGAACGAAATGTATTGGATAATTTAAACTTTTTTAACAAATAAAAAACTGAAAGGTGGGGCGTGCAATATTATTCGGCCCCTTTACTTTCAGTGCAGCAAACTCACTCCAGAAGTTCAGTGAGGATCTTTGAATGATCCAATGTTGTCCTAAATGACTGATGATGATAAATAGAATGCACCTGTGTGTAATCAAGTCTCCGTATAAATGCACCTGCTCTTTGATAGTCTCAGGGTTCTGTTTAAAGCGCAGAGAGAACCATGAAGACAAAGGAACACACCAGGCAGGTCCGAGATACTGTTGTGGAGAAGTTTAAAGCCGGATTTGGATACACAAAGATTTCCCAAGCTTTAAACATCTCAAGGAGCACTGTGCAAGCAATTATATTGAAATGGAAGGAGTATCAGGCCCATGATCACTCTGGATGAACTGCAGATAACTACAGCTGAGGTGGGAGAGTCTGTCCATAGGACAACAATCAGTCGTGCACTGCACAAATCTGGCCTTTATGGAAGAGTGGCAAGAAGAAAGCCATTTCTCAAAGATATCCATAAAAGTCTTGTTTAAAGTTTGCCACAAGCCACCTGAGAGACACACCAAACATGTGGAAGAAGGTGCTCTGGTCAGATGAAACCAAAATCGAACTTTTTGGCCACAATGCAAAACGATATGTTTGGCGTAAAAGCAGCACAGCTCATCACCCTGAACACACCATCCCCACTGTCAAACATGGTGGTGGCAGCATCATGGTTTGGGCCTGCTTTTCTTCAGCAGGGACAGGGAAGATGGCTAAAATTGATGGGAAGATGGATGGAGCCAAATACAGGACCATTCTGGAAGAAAACCTGTTGGAGTCTGCAAAAGACCTGAGACTGGGACGGAGATTTATCTTCCAACAGGACAATGATCCAAAACATAAAGCCAAATCTACAATGGAATGGTTCACAAATAGACGTATCCAGGTGTTAGAATGGCCAAGTCAAAGTCCAGACCTGAATCCAATCGAGAATCTGTGGAAAGAGCTGAAGACTGCTGTTCACAAACGCTCTCCATCCAACCTCACTGAGCTCGAGCTGTTTTGCAAGGAAGAATGGGCAAGAATTCCAGTGTCTCGATATGCAAAACTGATAGAGACATACCCCAAGCGACTTGCAGCTGTAATTGCAGAAAAAGGTGGCGCTACAAAGTATTAGCGCAAGGGGGCCGAATAATATTGCACGCCCCACTTTTCAGTTTTTTATTTGTTAAAAAAGTTTAAATTATCCAATACATTTTGTTCCACTTCACGATTGTGTCCCACTTGTTGTTGATTCTTGACAAAAAAATAAATTTTTATATCTTTATGTTTGAAGCCTGAAATGTGGCGAAAGGTTAAATGGGGGCCGAATACTTTTGCAAGGCACTGTATTTCATCAGTCACTTCCACGACGAATGATGGTTAGTCATATTCAGATTTTAGAGGAATCCATGCAGTCATGAGTAAACCAGGGAAAACAGCCGAGGATTCAGGTGAAAAACACACGTCATTATGATGATGTAACTGTTTGTGTGTAGGTGTCCCCGGCCTCATCACTGCTGATATGGTGAAAGACGGAGCGGCTGTCATTGACGTCGGAATAAACCGCATCCACGATCCCAAAACCGGAAAAATGAGGCTTGTAGGAGATGTAGACTTTGAAGGTGCGTGTGATGTCCTTCCATCAAAAACAGCATGAGGCCAGAGAGAGATCAGAGAGACAGATCAGAGGGAAAGGCCAGAGAGAGATCAGAGAGAGAGGCCAGAGAGAGAGGCCAGAGAGAGAGGCCAGAGAGAGAGGCCAGAGAGAGAGACCAGAGAGAGAGACCAGAGAGAGGCTAGAGAGAGAGGTCAGAGAGAGACCAGAGAGAGAGGCCAGAAAGAGAGACCAGAGACAGAGGCCAGAGAGAGGGGCCAAAGAAAGATCAGAGAGAGACCAGAGGGAAAGGCCAGAGAGAGTGGCCAAAGAAAGATCAGAGAGAGACCAGAGAGAAAGGCCAGAGAGAGTGGCCAAAGAAAGATCAGAGAGTGGCCAGAGAGAGAGTCTAGAGAGATATCAGAGATAGACCAGAAAGAGAGAGAGAGAGACCAGTGAGAGACACCAGTGAGGGAGAGGCCAGAGAGATGGAGGCCAGAGAGAGGGACCAGAGGGAGGGACCAGAGAGAGGGACCAGAGGGAGGGACCAGAGGGAGGGAACAGAGAGAGAGACCAGAGAGAAAGACCAGAAAGAGAGAAACCAGATAGAGACCAGAGAAAGAGACCTGACAGTAACTGAACTCTGAACTAGCCCTTTGAATGACCTTGGTCTGTAAAAATACGCCACATATATAAAGATAACTTACTCACTCTTGTGCGATAGTAAATGTCTGGTGTGTTTGGTCTCGCTGCAGGAGTGAAGAGTAAAGCCGGCTTCATCACTCCGGTCCCTGGAGGAGTGGGTCCGATGACCGTGGCCATGCTGATGAGGAACACGGTGAAGGCCGCGAGGAACGCTCTCCGACACTAGATACGTATTTGTTTTAAGGAACGGACAGATGAAGACGCTGCAAAAAGAGATCGAAAATCAGTTTAAGCTGGAGACTGAGAGAGACTGGTTTAAGTGGCTTTTCAGACCACAACATGCAGAACTCTGATTCAAAAACGTTTCATTTTCCAGGTGGTGAGAGCTGAGGGAGGGCTTTTCTCATTGTCACTGAGAAAAGTGATCCGAGGCCAGAGAGAGAGACCAGAGAGAGAGACCAGAGAGAGAGACCAGAGAGAGGCCAGAAGGAGAGACCAGAGAGAGAGACCAGAGAGAGAGACCAGAGAGAGGCCAGAAGGAGAGACCAGAGAGAGAGACCAGAGAGAGAGACCAGAGAGAGGCCAGAAGGAGAGACCAGAGAGAGAGAGACCAGAGAGAGAGAGAAAGAGAGAGAGAGACCAGAAGGAGAGACCAGAGAGAGAGACCAGAGAGAGAGACCAGAGAGAGAGACCAGAGAGAGAGACCAGAGAGAGGCCAGAAGGAGAGACCAGAGAGAGAGACCAGAGAGAGAGACCAGAGAGAGAGACCAGAGAGAGGCCAGAGAGAGAGACCAGAGAGAGAGACCAGAGAGAGAGACCAGAGAGAGAGACCAGAGAGAGGCCAGAAGGAGAGACCAGAGAGAGAGAGACCAGAGAGAGAGAGACCAGAGAGAGAGACCAGAGAGAGAGACCAGAGAGAGAGACCAGAGAGAGAGACTAGAGAGAAGTCAAATAATAATAATAATAATAATTTTACTCTTTCTGTTGGAAAACGTGTATTTAAAAAAACAAACTCGGCTTTAAGCTTCTTCTTCCGTCGACAAACTTTGATTTAAGACAAATTCACTCAAATCCAGACACTTTGCATCTTTTTTGATTTTTGGTCTATTTTTGCAGTGGGCTCAGTATGAAACACATGCAGCAGAAACAGGTCGGGGCTGGTTCAAACCGACACATGGTATAATGACACATGGTATAATGACAAATACAACCATATTATTATTATATTTGGACAGTCTTAAAAAATGTTTTGGACGGTGCTGTATCTCCCGCCTGTTGTGGCTCATGTCGCTCGGCGTCAAATTGTATCTGTGTCCTGCAGACTATCTGGTCTCTCTCTCTGGTCTTTCACTTCAGTCTCTCTCTCTCTGGTCTTTCTCTCAGGCCTCTCTCTCTCTCTGGTCTATCTCACTCTCTCTTTCTCTCTGGTCTCTCTTTGTCTCTCTCTCTGGTCTCTCTCTTCAGTCTCTCTCTGGTTTTTCTCTCCGGCCTCTCTCTCTCTGGTCTTACTCCAATATATCTCTCTCTCTCCAGTCTCTCTCTGGTCTCTCTCTTCAGTCTCTCTCAGGTCTCTCTCTCCGGTCTCTCTCTTCAGTCTCTCTCCGGTCTCTCTCCGGTCTCTCTCTTCAGTCTCTCTCTGGTCTCTCTCCGGTCTCTCTCTTCGGTCTCTCTCCGGTCTCTCTCTTCAGTCTCTCTCTGGTCTCTCTCTTCAGTCTCTCTCTCTCAGGTCTCTCTCTCTGTTCTCTTACTTATTTGATATTGTACATTTTTAAGTTTATTTATTTCAGTTATTTATTCAAAAGTAAAAATTTTTACCAAATAGAATTGATATTTTTTCTACTATAAGCTCGTTTTGTTCAGAACGTTCTAGATTCACTGGATTTTATCAATGAAATAAATGCTTTGCAACATGATGTTCTCTGCCGTTTTTCACATTTTGTGGTAATTTTGTAATTTTGGTTTGGTTTTGTTTCTTTTATCTCCAAAGATAAAAGAGGATGACGCATTCTGGATTTCCTGTGCGTCCGGACGCTTTTCAACAGGTTTTTCAACCGGTTTTCTACTCAACTGGCTGAGTGCTTTGTGCAAAACTGTAATTTACTCTCACAACAGGTGTGGTCCCACTCTCTCCCTGGGTTTCCTCCAGGTGCTGCGGTTTCCCAATCCTCTATATACATGTAGAAAAGGGTCAAATCCTACAGCTCTAGTCCTGAAGAGCATCAACATCTAGAGAGGAGACTGGATCAGAGTCTCTCTCATCCTGCACCAGAGAGAGTCCAGAGAGAAACTGGAGAGAGACCAGAGAGAGACCAGAGAGAGACCAGAGAGAGACCAGAGAGAGTCCAGACAGAGTCCAGACAGAGTCCAGACAGAGTCCAGACAGAGTCCAGACAGAGTCCAGAGAGAGTCCAGAGAGAAACTGGAGAGAGACCAGAGAGAGAGACCAAAGAGAGAGACCAGAGAGAGAGACCAGAGAGAGACTGGAGAGAGAGACTGGAGAGCGACCAGAGAGACCAGAGAGAGACTGGAGAGAGAGACCAGAGAGAGACCAGAGAGAAACTGGAGAGAGACCAGAGAGACCAGAGAGAGTCCAGAGAGAGAGACCAGAGAGAGACCAGACAGAAAATAGAGAGAGACCTGAGAGAGATTGAGAAGAGAGGACCAGAAAGAGAGACAGGGAGAAAGACCAGAGAGTGAGACCACAGACAGACCGTGAGCGGCACGGTGGCTGAGTGGTTAGCACTCTAGCTTCTCAGCAAGAAGCTCCAGGGTTCGAATCCCGGTCGCAAGAGGGCCTTTCTGAGTGGAGTTTGCATGTTCTCCCCGTGTCTGCTCCGGTTTCCTTCAGGTGCTCCGGTTTCCCCTACCACTAAAAACATGTGCAATAGGTATGAATGTAACGAATGTAACGGATGGATGGTGTTGGTGGGAGTCTGTAAAAATGCGCTATATAGATAAACATTACTTACTTACAGTGACCAGAGAGATACTGGAGAGAGAGATTGGAGAAAGACCAGAGGGAGACCGAGAGAGACCAAATACTCTGCATAAGTCACTCTTCAAAGTCCTTTAAACGTGTCGTAACCTCCTGATGTGACTCTGATCCGGCGCCGCTCCATCCTGTCGGGACACGCTCCTGACGACAGAAACTGGGGAAAGTTTTTCTCTGTAAAAATCAGACTCACACTCGGATCCGCTCGCTCTGATTGGTCCACAGCTCTCGCTCCAGACGTATAAATGATCCGTCATGACTTTCAATGCTTCACTCTCACTTCTCTCGACTCCCACTATGTTTTCCTCCAGCATCTCCACCACAGGTAAGCATTTCATTTATATCTTTAATTTAGATTAAAAAAAATAATCTCTGGTTTTTTTCTCTTTTTGGGGAAGTCCCTGTACTTGGTTTATTCACAGTATGAGGCATTTTGGGAATTTACTTTTTTTAAATGTCAAACATCAGACTTTTTCAGACAGAAAGAGACAAAACATGACGACTGTCGCACGAAAAAGTGAAGGGAAAAAATGTTGTTTATAATTGATAGTTTTAACATACAATTTCCCCTTTCCCTCTCTCTGGGATCTCTCTCTCTCTCTGGGATCTCTCTCTCTGGTCTCTCTGGGATCTCTGGTCTCTCTCTGGGATCTCTCTCTCTCTCTGGTCTCTCTCTCTGGGATCTCTCTCTCTCACTGCTCTCTCCCTCTCTTCCTCATGTCTCTCCCTCTGGTCATTCCTTGGAATCTCTCTCTCTGGTCTCTCTCTCACTGCTTTCTCCCTCGCTGGTCTCTGTCTAGTCTCTCTCTCTGGTCTCTCCGATCTCTCTCTGGACTCTCTCTCTCTTCCCAATCTCTCTCGCCCTCTCTGATCTCTCTCAATTCTGTCCTACAAAAACAAATACAAAATTTTGTTGAGCGATGGACACTTGTAAAGATACAAAAAATTTTCACATTTTCAGTCTCTTTCATCTCCAGTCTCTCTCTGGTCTCTCTCTTGCCTCTAGTATCTCTCTTGCCTCTGGTCTCTCTCTTGCCTCTGGTCTCTCTCTTGTCTCTGGTCTCTCTCTTGTCTCCAGTCTCTCCCTGGTCTCTCTCCAGTCTCTTTCGGGTCTCTCTCTTGTCTCCAGTCTCTCTCTGGTCTCTCTCTTGTCTCCAGTCTCTCTCTGGTCTGGTTATGCTTAAGTTAGAGAATTTAGATTTGTTTCTGTGATATGGTCTAGAACACAACACAAAACATATTTCAAAACACATTTCAAAGCAAATGAGTTTTTTGCTTTGAAAAATAATAAATTACTAGTTAGTTCACTCTGCTGTATTGTGTAAGACTTATGTAAGGATTATACCATGGTTAAAACTACTACAAAATAAATACATATTGTCCTCTACACTTTCTCGTTTGAGGAAAGGGATTACTTTGGGAGCCGAAAGCTGTTTTTAACCTGCTTAGCAACCGTTGTCATGAGCAAAATTATGACCGAGACAAAGGAGGAAAATCCAACTAATTCTTTTTTTTTCCTGATTATTACAAAAGTTTTAATAAACTTGTTTCTTTCCAGCTTCTCTTCTCCTGGGGCTCTGTTCGCGGCTCCTCCTCTCCACTCTCGGACAAACGATCGCCTCCGACGTCGACCCAACGACAGCGTCTCCGGCTGTGACTAACTCCTCCCTGCTCCTCAACAGCAGTAAGTCCGTCCTCATAATACTAGACACTATCAAAGAACGTATCAATACATTTATTTATTTTTTGGATCAGAACGTATACAGATATGTGTGTAAACAAAGATAGCCAACTAGACATACATTCCTCATTATTCTTTTTTAACTTACTTTTTTTATTCATTTAAACAGTATTAATAAAGGAGTAGGCTGAAGCAAAATGTTATGAGCCAAACGCAATTACAATCGAACTTTTCATATTACAATGACATACGGTACAGAACATGGACACAAAGGCACACAAAACAAACTATATTTTTGGGTTTCATTAAACTGGCCAGTAGGGGGCGAATGAGCAGAGGTGGGACAACTCAGTTCTGCTCCCATTGAAAACCATGTAAAGTCTGTTTTGGAGTCAAAAGGCTCTCCTCCTGTGAGGGAATACTAATAATATTTCTCAAAAGAGTCTTGATTTTTGGCATTTTTGGAAAAGAAAAACAGAAGAAATTGCTGCGTTTCATTGAGGTGGCCTGCAGGGGGCGCTTATCTGGGAAAGCCTTGATCCACCTTGCCCGCCTCATTCCAGTGATTTTTTCAAAGTGTGCTCCTTTATATGAGACCACAGTTAAAACACGGAAGAAACTCTTGTCTTTCTCTCTATTTGTGCGGTGGCTACAAGCGTACACCGCACAACAAGATGGCATTTTGACAGAGCTTCTTCTTCTACATATAGTAGAGGATCTCTGTGTATAAACCCGGCAGACTGCAGCGCCAGGATACGTCCGGTCCGATCCGGTCCAAGAATATGTTCATGTATACATTGTAGACAAATCCACAGTCAACAACTTTAACAGAATAAGAAATAGATCGTGCAATATGAAATTTGGTTGGTTTTATTGGTATTTGAACCTGATCAAATGGCAGGAAAGTGGCGCTGTGGCAGTAGCTCTGTTTGTGTACTGTCTGGTGCACACTGGGAAAGTCTTGCACAGTTTTTCCAGTGTGGTTTTACTACATATGGCCAAACAAAATCTTGTATCTTGAATCTTAAAACTTGAGGTTTCGATCTCTTGAGGATGAATAAGTACAGGGATCTAAAAATGTAGGGAAAACATAAGGATTTGGATACTCTTTGAACAGGGAAAACTGACTAAAAAAGCAGAGGAACCAGGTCTGCGAATTAGCCGTTAGCTATAGCTCGGTAATTTATAACATTTAATAAACACATAAAGTCTTGATGCCGTGATGAAGACCAGTGAGGGGTCCAAACGCATCGCTATGTCCCTAAAAACAACAGATTGATTTGTATTTTCTAATAAACGTATATTTCTTCCTCAGCCGACACCATGGAGATGACCATGACGAGACCATGTGGCGCTGAGTTCAAACACTGGTGTATGAACGGCGGCGAGTGCGTCTTCTCCCACGGCAGCGAGAAGCCGTTATGCAAGTAGGGACTCTTTTTTTTCTCTCCTTTAAAACATTATTCTGTGGTGTTTTATTATATATTATACAAAAAAATGCATGGAAACATTTAGATAAAAAAAAAAAAATAATAATAATAAAAAAATAAAATAATAAAAATAAAAAAAAAAATAATAAAATAAAAATTAAAATAAAAACATTTAGATAAAAAATACAATGTTGCTAAAAAATATCAATAATTTTCTAAAGCCCTCACCGTGGACTGAGTCAATCCACAGCAACTGCCCCAAAATCGGTGTATTTATTATTTTATCACGCCCTCACCATGGACTGAGTCAATCCACAGCAACTGCATTAATATTTAACTCATTTCAATTCAATTCCATGTATTTTTGTATAGCCCTAAGTCTCTCAGATGACTTTACAAAGTTGTCGATTCACCAACAACAGATCCGAGAATCAAAACGGTTAAACACAAACACTATAGAGCCATTGGTGCATAAGGGTCAAACATCTTCGATCATCTCCACTGTCCTCGTACCCTGTGATCTCACATGTTTGTCTCTTTTTACAGATGCCCGGTGCCGTACGAGGACAGCCGCTGCACGACCATCCAGTTACGCTCTTCTCAAGTTACCGAGATCGAGAAGATAATAGGAATCGCAATCGGTGGCATCATGGTGGTCCTGGCTCTGCTCTTGGTCCTCTACTGCTGTTTCTATAAGAGGTAAACTTTTAATTAAACCACAGGAGCTGACTTCAGTCGTTTTCTGTTAATCATTAGATATAAGTCACTCTGGCGGCCATCTTACGATTACTTCACCAGTTACTATCCCTCTGAATTTTACTCTAGTTTCTAATATTTTCCCAGCCAATGAATACATTTCACTCCTTGAAATTTGAGTTAGTAGAATAAAGATATACTGATTTATTCAAATAGTCCAGCCGTTAGTATGTACAAAAAAATATGTATGTATGATTGAGTATTCAACTTAGGGGACTTCTACCTGTTTCTGCCAAACCATTCAGTTAATGTACTCCATAGTGGCAAGACTTGTGGCACAAAATTAGTTAGAAAAAGGGCATTTAATCAAGTAAAACATGAGTTAAAAAGCCAAATTATTTCAGATATATTTTTTGTTTGAATTAGTAGAATGGTAATACCAAAATGGCTGCCAGAACAGGACGTTACCAAATGGTTTATGTCTGCATAACACTAATAACACTGTATTTATTTGTTTTCAGACGTCTACAGTCCAAAAAATCTTCTCCAGAATCCAATGTATGAATCATGGACAACAAGGACACGGACAAGAACATCTCTGTTGTTGATGAGCTGTTTTTGTAATTTATTATATTTGACTATTTATTGTGAATATTAAGTTATTTTGTAATACATTTTCTTACAATACAAACGTTGCACTTGTTTGTTTATCATCCTCTTAACAGAAATACCTTAGCATATATGCAACTCGCCGTGATCCAGGTGGCGAGCTAGCCAGGAGTGCAGGTGGTTAGCTAGCCAGGAGTGCAGGTGGTTAGCTAGCCAGGTGTCCAGGTGGTTAGCTAGCCAGTTGTCCGGGTGGTTAGCTAGCCAGTTGTCCAGGTAGTTAGCTAGCCAGTTGTCCAGGTGGTTAGCTAGCCAGGAGTGCAGGTGGTTAGCTAGCCAGGTGTGCCAGGTGGTTAGCTAGCCAGGTGTCCAGGTGGTTAGCTAGCCAGGTGTCCAGGTGGTTAGCTAGCCAGGTGTCCAGGTGGTTAGCTAGCCAGTTGTCCAGGTGGTTAGCTAGCCAGTTGTCCAGGTGGTTAGCTAGCCAGGTGTCCGGGTGGTTAGCTAGCCAGGAATACAGGTGGCGAGCTAGCCAGGAGTTTGTAATGATAACAAGACAGTTAGGTTTGGGCTGAATAATCAATAAATCAATATTTATTTGTACAGCACAAAGTTCTTTACAAGAGCAAATAAAAAAAAAAACAGTTCAAAAAGGCTAAACAGCTACATCAATATATACAGTGCCTTGCGAAAGTATTCCTTTCAACATTTCGCCACATTTCAGGCTTCAAACAAAGATATAAAATTTTATTTTTTTGTCATGAATCAACAACAAGTGGGACACAATCGTGAAGTGGAACGAAATTTATTGAATAATTTAAACTTTTTTAACAAATAAAAAACTGAAAAGTGGGGCGTGCAATATTATTCGGCCCCTTTACTTTCAGTGCAGCAAACTCACTCCAGAAGTTCAGTGAGGATCTTTGAATGATCCAATGTTGTCCTAAATGACTGATGATGATAAATAGAATGCACCTGTGTGTAATCAAGTCTCCGTATAAATGCACCTGCTCTTTGATAGTCTCAGGGTTCTGTTTAAAGCACAGAGAGAACCATGAAGACAAAGGAACACACCAGGCAGGTCCGAGATACTGTTGTGGAGAAGTTCCGGATTTGGATACAAAAAGATTTCCCAAGCTTTAAACATCTCAAGGAGCACTGTGCAAGCAATTATATTGAAATGGAAGGAGTATCAGACCACTGCAAATCTACCAAGACCTGGCTGTCCCTCCAAACTTTCATCTCAAACAAGGAGAACACTGATCAGAGATGCAGCCAAGAGGCCCATGATCACTCTGGATGAACTGCAGTGTTTGTTATTTCTCTGATCTGTTGTTGCCAAATCGGCAATTTTGTGAAGTCCTCTGAGACGACAACTGCAGTGATTCAGAGCGACGCAGAAATACATTGAATTAAATCAAAATAGTATCAAAGAACATTCTCAGCAAAAATGTGTTAAAATATGCAAACATATCCTTGCATGAGCTTTACCTGTTACAAACAGAGAAAGAATGCACTGGAGAAAGTGCCACATTTTTGCAACTATGACAGTATTACACATTACACTGGGTTCATTGTACAGTCTGACAGTTGATTGACACCCATATAAGAAAAATGCCTTAAATTGTGTCAGGCATGAGTCTATTTCATCATTTATGATCTCTGCAGGCCCTCTCTTGTCTCAGTTCCGTTCCTCCAGGGCCTCGTCTAACTCTGGTCTCTCCCTCTCTCTCTCTGGTCCCTCTCTCTCTCTCTCTCTCTCTCTCTCTCGCTCTAATGTCTGGCACCCACAAAATGACACCCACAAGGAGAGCATCCCTCACCACACCCACCACAAAAACAACACCGCGGTTTGCTCTTCCCCGACCGCACACAAAAGCCGCCGCTAATCGTTTCATCAGCGGCAGAGAGAGCGACGAGTGCAGATCTCGACACGTCTGCAGCTGCAGCAATGAGGATCCACGGCGGCTGCACCTTTGCTCTGGTCTTCTGTGAGTTCTTCTTTATGGTTTGGATCAACGTCAGATTAGATATAAATGTTTCAGACTTTTGCACTGGTCTCACTGCTGGACTCTGCAGAGATTTGTGCATGTATCGTGTTTGTAAAGAAGTCTAAGAAATATGTACATTTTTATAGTTCTTAAATCACATTGGTTCTTTGGTACCATCGCTTATTTGCATGTGCATGTCGTTTTAGACCAGATTGAGACCAGAGAGAGACCAGAGCGAGACCGTAAAGACCAGAGATTAGAGAGAGACCAGGGATAGACCGGAGAGAAACCAGAGAGGGAGACCAGAGAGGGACCAGCGAGAGACAAGAGAGAGACCAGCGAGAGACCATAGAGAGACCAGAAAGAGAGAGAGAGAGACCAGAGAGAGTCGAGAGAGAGATGAGGGACTGACCAGAGAGAGACGATATAGACCAGAGAGAGCGACCTGAGACAGCTTAGTTTTACTGATGATGCATTATTACAATAGTAATCCTGTTACTGTAGTACAGACTTTTGCAATGGTCTCACTGCTGGAATGTGCAGCGTTGCATGGATGGACCACCCTCACTCAGCCAATCAGTTCGCAGCCCAAAAGACTCAAACAGTGACTCACTAATGTAGTCTAACAAGATGAAGACAGCATGGTCAAGTTTGTGTATTAGTTCTGGCCCTAATCAGTTACATATCCGAGCTTTAAAGAAGCTATACCCGATTTTTTTTCTAAGTAGTTCTTAAAATGCTTATTACTACATACAAGTTGTATCATAATACATAATTTAATTGAAAACATGAGGTCATTGATTCTGCTGTGTATGAAATTCTGGCCGTAAAAGTGCCAGAAGTTCTACGATTAGGCGCGTAGTCCCTTAGGACTTCGCTAGTGGGATATCGCTCGTGACCCCCAGGTCACACGCCAGAGAGATCAAAATAATTTGCTCCAATCACCAGCGACCCTCCTCTATAAAGGCCCCTGCACAAGGCCGCACCCCCTCTTGAACTCTGCCAAGCCGGGCTGGCCTGATGGGCTCGTAGCTAAGGGACTACGCACCTATTCGTAGAACTTAAGTTACATTAGGTAACTAATAATTCTACGTCATGGTGCTACGTCCCTTAGGACTTCGCTAGTGGGACACAACGCGGAGGCCGTAGGAACATGTACTCCCAGCAGGCCAGCGAAGGGTGATTGGAGCTCCGCCCGAGCAAGACCCTCACACAGTGAGAGAACTCAGGGCAGAAGAAGCAATTGCGTGTTACAGGGCCACTCCTCCCAAGGATACCCCCAAGTAACACAGACCGAAGGTCACCCGTAGTCCCAGGACGCCTCTCCCAAGAGCTCCTGACGTGGACTACCTGACTGACCAAAAGCACACACATACCGCACCTGCAGGACGCCTCTCCCAAGAGCTCCTGAACCAGGGCGGAAAGTCAACCGAAGGCCCCCAAAGAGGAGGGACCTAACGGTCTAACTCAGTCCGCTGCACTCAGCACGGAATGGGCCACCGACCGGTCCGACACATCCAAAAGATAAGACCGGACGAAAGAAGAGGACGACGCCCAAGAAGCCGCACGGCAGACGTCCTCGACCGACGCCCCCCTGAGGAGGGCCGTAGAGGCCGCCATCCCACGCGTGGAATGCGACCTGAAGCCCACCGGGGGGGCCAGACCCTGCGTCTGATACGCCCGCCGCACCGCCGTGGCGACCCAGTGCGCCAGCCGCTGAGCCGACAGCGGGGCGCCCCTGTTCTTGGGGCCCAGACACACAAACAGCTGATCACCCAACCTGAATGAAGACGTCATGGCCAGGTAATGCCTAAGCATTCTGACAGGACACAGAAGGTGCCGCCGCTCCTCCTCGGGGGAGGCATGCGGTGGCGGATAGAATGCCCTAATCCTGATGACTCTCGACCTAAAGGCCGACGTGATGACCTTGGGGAGAAAAGCCGGATTGGGCTACAATTCCACCATGCCGTCACCCTCTCCAAAGGACAGGCAAGACGCATGGACGGAGAGCGCACACAAGTCGCCCGCCCTCTTAGCAGACGCCAACGCCAGCAAGAGGGCCGTCTTAAAAGCGACACACTCGGGACTCGCCTCCGCTGCCGGTTCAAAAGGCGGACCCGACAGCCCCCTAAGGACCACCCTGAGGTCCCAAACCGGGGGCGTTCTCTGGAGCGGGGGCTTCCTCCTGCGCGCCCCCCGCAGAAAACGTTTAACCAACGGATGAGAGCGGGCTGTGAACCCCCCGAATCCGTCGTGACCCGAGGTAATGGCTCCCGCGAACACCGCCAAGGTGGCGACAGCCCTCCCTTTGTCAAAAAGCTCCTGTAGGAATCCCAGGACCCCCTCCAGCGGGCAACGCCTGGGATCCCAGGAGCGAGAACCGCACCAGTCGCTGAAGAGCCTCCACCTCGTGGCGTAGGCCCTCACAGTGGACGGCGCCCTCGCCCCCTGAATGGTCTCCACCTCCGCCGGGGGAAGACCCAGGTCTACGAGGTTCCGCCTCTCAGCCTCCAAACCCAGAGCCTGCGGCCGATTATCGGGCGTGAAAACAGGGCTCCCCCCCCCTGGACTAGAGCCCCCGGCTCGTCCGGGAGGGCCTAGGGCTCCATCACCGCCATGCCCCTCAGGAAGGGGAACCACCGGGCATGCGGACTGGCCGGAGCCACCAGGATCACCGACCTCCTCTCCTGTTCGATCCTCCGCAGCAGGACCGGCAGGAGACGCACTGGTGGGAAAGCATACAGCAGGCCCTCTGGCCAGGGGTAATGAGCCAGAGCGTCCACGCCTAAGGGCGGCTCGTCCGCGGCCCTTAAGGCGAACCAGGACGGGCACTGTGCGTTCTCTGCACTGGCGAAAAGGTTGACCACTGGACGGCCGAACCTCCGCCAGATCTCCGCAGCTACCCGTGGGGCCAGGCCCCACTCGTCCTGGAGTGGGCCCCCCTGGACATCCTGTCGGCCCCCACGTTCCGGACCCCCGGGACGTGGCGCGCCCTCAGAGACAGAAGGTGAAGCGCCGCCCACAGCAGCGTCACCGTCGCCATGCGATGGAGGGACGGGGGACCTGGTGCCCCCCTGCCTGTTCAGATAGGAGACCACTGTGGTGTTGTCTGAGCGCACCATCACGTGTCTCCCCTGCAGCTGAGGAGCAAAGTGCAGCAGTACCTTGTGTACTGCCTCCATCTCCAGCAGGTTGATGTGACGGCTGAGTCCGACCAGCAGCCTCCTACAGAGCTCTGGCCGAGGACCCCGCCCCATCCTTCGAGTGACGCGTCCGTGAACACCTCCACGTGAGACACGGCGCAGGCCAGAGTCACTCCGTCCCGCAATAAACCCGGAGTGAGCCAAAACCTGATGTCCGATGCTGCCACTTGGGGAACCCAGATAAGCCTCCCCCCGTCCCGGGAGGGGTGAAGCCTGAGGCGTGAGAACCACCTCTGAAAATTCCTCATGTGGAGAAGGCCTAGCCGCACCACAGCATGAGCCGCCGCCATCATTCCCAGCAGGGACCTGAGGCGCCGAGCGGGGACCCTGGGGCCCGCCAGAACCTCCCCGCCTGACTTCTTTGGCACTAAGAAGTAAGGGAAGTACAGCCCCCTGGTGGTGTCCTGTGGGTCTACCTCCACTGCTGCGCCTCGACTCAGCAGAGAGGAGACCTCCGCTTGTAGTGCCTCTAATGATCCCCGTACCTGAGAGCGTGCTGCCCGTACGCCTCGGAATGGTGGTGGCTTTCGGGAGAATTGCAGTGCGTAACCCCTGCGCAATGTTTTCTCCATGAAGCCATGGATCCGTCAGCAAACCTTGCTCCCTCCAAATGCTGTAGAAGTCTGTGAGGGGCGGAACGGGAGCTGGAACACGAGACGTCACGGCCCCGCCCTCTCCTGGTGTTCCTAGCAGGGAGGGGGGGTGGACGAAAGGGCCGGGGGGCCCCCTGCGTCATACCGTGAGCGCCGGGGGCGGTCACGTGTCCTGCAGGCCCGACGTCATCAGTACGGGTCTGCTCATCCCATGTGACTCGGCTGCTGTGCCCCCCCCTGGCTCTTGCCTCATGGAGGGGGGGGCGAGCCCCTGGAGTGGGAAACCCCGTGTTAGCCTTGTAGCTCAGAGAGGCTAACACGCGTTCGGCCGAAGCACACACATCACTACTCACCAGATCCCTCCGCCTGACCTCTCTCTGGGAGGGCATAGTATGGATCAGAGAACCGGAGCTCGTAGCTCGCGTAGCGCACTGCACACCCTGCTCTGGGGGCTGCAGGCCTAGCGAAGTAACGTTATGTGCTCGGGAAGTAACACAATCAGAATTCACATTAGACATGTTACATACCCCCAAATGAGACTCAGACAACGAGTAATGATGAAATGCCGGTCGGCCTTTATTGAAGGAATTCTTTCCACCCCGACCTCCTCTACCATAGGGAGGTCGGCGGTGGGTGCGCTGCTCCCGCGAGCCTCCCGTGGGTCTGTCTGGACCCGGGGGCCTCGTCAAGGGGGGACGATGGACCACAGAGCGTGGATAGGGGTCAGAGCGCCTCCCGGGCGAACGCTCCCTGTCTCTGTCCCGGCTCCGTGATGGTGGGCGGGCCTCGCGCCTCGGTGCTAGGTGCGGGGCTAGCCTAGCCGAGTCCTTGGCTGCAGCCTCCAGTCTAGCCACCAGTGCCTGCATGTCCGGGCCGAAGAGGGACGTCTGGGAAACAGGCAGGTCCAGCAGCTGCCTCTTCTCCGCCTCCCTGATGTTAGCTAGCCCAAGCCAAAGGTGCCTGGCCCCGACTTGGGCTGCTGCCATGGAGCGGCCGCCATCCACAGCTAGCGCCTGGCACATGCGCAGGATCGCCACTGAGGTGGTCCTCGCCTGTGATAAGGTGTCTCCACTGAGCGCCTGGCCAGAGGAGAGCGACCTATCCAGGGCCCCCGTGATGAAAGCCATGTTATTCGCCAATGCGACGACCTGTGCCGCATTGGCGTAACATCTGTCCAGCATAGCCAATGACATCCTGTCCCGCT